CACACACACACACACACACACACACACACACACAGTCTCTCTCTCTCTGTCAGAGATTATCCCGGTCTATTCATTGGGGAGATTCCAGCTGCCGCGGCGCTCCTTAAAGGAGCCGACTAAACCCCCAACGACAACCTCAACAAGCTCCATTAACACACACAAATCCAAAGACACACACATGCAGACACGCACACATGCCAATTTTTTGGTAACTTAATATTGTAAACGAGACTCATTTCAATAGAATAAGCAGTGACAGAGAGTGGAAATGACTGACTGTCGTAACTCTGCACGAACCCTCAACTCGGCTGATAAATATAATACGACTAATGTGCAGAATTACAGAGTCCCTTCAGGGTCTATATGTGATGAAGAGTCTCTGAAAAAATCCCATCAAATGTAATCCATCACACCTCTGCTGCTGTAAAATGAGGCTGTTTTTGTGCATAGCACATACATAACATACTATTTCTTTCTACCATGTTGTCCATGTTTCCACTCATGGAAAAGGAGGGAGATTAAATCCAAAGGAACATAATGGACAGAGGGTGAAGTGCATGTGTGTGTCGCAAGCTATGAAGACAAAAGGTTGAAGGTTTCGTAGAAAACCTGGTCCTTCTTCTCTACTTGACTCAAGGTAAGGCGGTACACGTGAAAGGTGCTGAGAATTAAATATTACAGACTTTCTTCTCTCTCCATCTCTACTCTTTTGTCTGCATTCAAGGGAATGATGCCAGGAGGCACATGAAAAAAAGTTTGCTGGTCCTGCTTTCTTTTGAACACCTGTCGTTACAGCTTCAATATCTCAGGGAGAGAGGCCGCGGTATAATAAGAGGGAACAGAGTGGCTGAGTGAAAGAATGAGAAGAAGATGGGGAAAAATAAAGGATAGTGTGAATGAGAAGCAAATGAGTTCATGAGAGCAGGTGAGGGAGAAATAGAAAGATATGAGGGCTTTTAAGCGGTGGCAGGAGGAGAGAGGAGAGGTGAATTAATTAGAAAACAAGGGAGCGCATGGGGTGAAGATGGACGACAGAGCAGTGAGGTGAAAGGGAAATTAGAGACACGATTTAAACAAGATGTGAAAAGAGAGAGGTGAGATGTGACGGGGAAGGACTGCAACATCTGGTGGTGACTGAGAGATGACTCAGGGAGTGAGGAAAAAGCAGAGTAATGAAGAAAGGAAATAAAAGAGAGAGGGAGGGAAGTGTTGAAGAGAGAGGGGTTAAATAGATTTCATAGAACTGTCCCTCAGGGATAAAGCAGGTATTAGTCCACATTTTGCCTGTCGTCAAGGAATCCCATCAAAAGAGAGGAACAATGAACTTTATCCAAAGATGGACGATGCATCTCCACCTCCTCCCACTCTCCAGAAAAGAAGCTAAAAGATCTCACACACAAATGCTGCCATCTTGCACCTTTGGAGCCTGGAGTCTGTGCCGTGGTATCGAGGTCCCGACAATACACGCTCTCGACCAAACAAATAGGCATCAAATAACTAATCAAAACCAAACATTTTGGAAATATGAGTACTTGGACAAATGTCAGTGTCATAAGAACTACCTAAAAAGACAGAAACCCAATCTTTATTCAGCATTTGCTTTAACTTTAAGGTCAATGTCCCACCTGCTAACAGGGAGGAGGCAGGTTTTATGCTGCAGCCAGACTTGGACTCACATTAGGGGAGCTGTCATCCATCATTATATACGGCCTATGATTGGAATGCTTTATTCTGACCCCCCACCCTGATTGTGGCTCTTAGGCGGAGCCCACTGGTTCCAAACTATATTTTATAACGAGGTCATCACAAATGTTACTCAATTGAGAGTAAACGCTGCATTTAGCTGTTGATAAATACAAATTTCTGTATTTATCATGGTTGAATGTGGCATTTTATTAAACATCAGAGCCGTGACCATGGTAATGAGACATATCCAGCTATGATGAGAGCTCTAATATCTGTTAGCTGGATCATTCTACTATAGGTCTTCAGTCTTTTCATAGGATTTGGTGTCATAAAGTCAAAATAAAAACAGCATTTCTCGCATTATCCCTTAAAATGCAGTAGATCCTGAAGGCAGGCAGTCAGTGAATATGTGGTATGAAGCTCTTCTGCTCAAGTGTGTGAGGCTGTTTGTTGCCACACTCATGATCAAGAGCAGATTACTGTGTGACGCCTCATGCTGAGCAAACACAAACAGATGAACGTCTAATGAATGTGCATGCGTGCATATGAAGTGAGGGAGTGTATGGAAGCATGACAAATAACTAAAGAGAATAATGTGTGTGTGTATGTGTACTTTGTGTCAAAGCTTTTGTACATTTCTGTTTAAAGGTGCAGCAACATTAGATTGAGAATAGATGCAGTAAAATAAAACAAATAAATATATAATGGTGTTTGATGCACAAGAAACCATGAGACACGTTTCAGTGAATCCAGTTTGTGTTTACATTTTTGCACTGAGAAAAACTTTTTTTAGGCCAAGGTAACAAAATACATGACAATAATGAAAAATGTGACAATCCCAAAAAGCAAGATCCCCCAGGTTGTTTTTGTGCTCAATGTCTTGCCAGCTACAATACAGCTGCATGGCATTAGTCTGTAGCTGTGTGTTCACACACACACACACACACACACACA